TTCTCTGATTGACTTATTTCACTCAGCATAACACCCTCAAGTTCCATCTACGTCACTGCAAAGGGCAAGATCTCATTCCTTTTGATGGCTGCATAATATTCCATTGTATATATATCCCACATCTTCTTTATCCATTCATCCTCCTGCATTTGTTGATTCTCAAATGTCTTTAGCTCAAAATAATCCTTCTGCCAGAGTGGCATGTTTTGGAGTGGCATATTTTGATCTGTCTTACACTAGTTAATGATGGAGCTGGACTCAACCCAGATTTGTTATTTTGTTTCTCCTAAGCCCTTGCTTTTAGATAGTTTGCTGTTTTGTGGTAGGCATTTTATAAACAAAGAAAAAGCCATAGCCAGCACACAGCACTTCTGTGTGTCAGCAGTTAATAGCGCTGCATGCACTGTTCACACCTTGGAAGCTCCCTCTGGGTCAGGTCCTGTAATTATCTCTATTTCACAGTGGGGGAAAGTAAGGCACAGGGAAGTTAAGTGAGTTATGCAAGTGTGCACAGCTCCCAAGTGGAGATTTGAACCCAGGTATTTGAAGTTATGTTCTTAACCAGTACCCTGTAATGATTAAAAGAGGGTTGCTGACTTTCTTTAGGACCGATGTGTTCTTGATTGATTGAGGGGAAAATCCATGCTGGAGTCCCCAGTCTTCTGGGTTCTCTTATTGCTTTGGACAAATCTTCATTAACACATTGCTGTAGTCTCTTACGAGTTTTGTTTGTCTCTTAGTCGTGAGGACTGGAGTTCTTCATTTTATGTTTGATTACCCAGAGGACATAGTTTGGCATATTTTAGACACAGTAAATACTGACCAAATCTAGTGCAGTGTTTTTTTATGCTGTGACAGCTTTTCCTCCTTTTATATTATGAAGCCACTTTCTTTCTCATGGTTTCATGTTCTTTTTCTTGCTTTGTTTATGGAACACATGGTTTTTACCTTTTTTTTTCCCCCTCGCCTTCTATTTGGTCTTCTTTAAGGTGATTTATTTAAAAGCACCCCCCTCTTCTTAGAAGATACAGGGCTCTCTCTCTAAATGAACTGCTGTCTCAATCCAGCTGTCTTCCTGTCATCTTCTGATTGTCTCATTCATCATCATCAAATACTATTAAGTATCTTTTAGCACTTTGTGCTGTGCTAGGCATTCTATAAGCAAATAAAAAGACATGGTCCCTGATTTTGAGGAATTTCTAGTTTAAACCAGCTTTAGAGCTCTTGAAAGACACCACTGATCTTCGAGAAGAAAGAATTTTAAACTAAGGACTGCTTGAGGACAGTCTTAATAAAGTAGTGACCAATCACAATCCCACTCCTCCCAGATTGTAGTTGTCTTTTTTTCCCTTCCTTTCCATTGAGGAAAAACAAATGTGCCTCCTCTATGAGAATCTGCGCAAATGTCATTTCCTCTGCTTGGATAGCTTTCCACTATCACCAGCTTTCACTGAGTTCATACCTTTTTTTCTATTAACATATAAATCATCCAGTATTTCTTTGCAGAAATTCCAAGAAGACTTACTGACTAGATCTAATCTTATCTCTCTACCTACTTACCTATTTTTTGCCTAGGTGGTCTTCATCAGCACAGTATTAATTTTCTTATTCTTAGTTCTCATGATTAGGTACTTATTATTAATGAACTGATCACTTTTAGAATTAAGTTCTTCTCAACTACCCATCACCACCTAATTATCTGTCCTCTTCATCAAGTCCTATTCTTTGCGTTCATCAGTCTCTCACTGATTGCCGTAGTGTGTATATCATGTAAAAATGATGCACATGAAGTGCAAGATGGAATTGCAGATATTGTGAGAGTTGCAGGGTTTCTGGATGGTGACCAAGTGTCCTGCAGGAAGTGGGTGACAGAATGAAGGCTTTGTGGGTCAGGTCAGTAAACAACTGAAAGAAAATGAAACTGTGAGGATTGGCTTTTTAACAATGAAGAATGATTTGAATATTAAAAAATACAGACAGACCTGCAGGAAAGTTACCTTTATGGTTGTGCTGAGAGTCAAATATAAAGTAAAAGATGTTGGATTCTATTTAGCCATGCAATTTTATCAGAAAATTACATGCATACGCAGACTGAGTCAGTATCTTTTTTTTCAATTTAAGAATGTGATGTTTTTATAATTCTGATCGAACATTTGTTAAATTTAACATAAAACAAATTTATTTTCAGATTTTTTAGTTTCATTTTGGAAGATACAAGTTCCAAAGAAATAAACTCAGGTCTCTATTTTAAGTGAATTTACTTTAAGTTGACTTTTTCTGCATTATTCATCCTTAGATAACAATGATCTCTTCTGTTTTTGTTAGTGCCCGTCTTCAGTGCTAGCTTGAAGTTCATTCTTGGCTCCTAATAGGTGCTCAATAAATGTTTGTTGAATAGGTGAAATAAGAAATAACCACTGGTGTGAAAACCTCAGTTAAGAGCCAGTCTTAAATCTGAAGACCTGCTACTTCTTCTGATGAGGTTTGCTAATTAGGTTTGTTTTATTCACAGGGTAACAGATTCCCTGGATACTCTTTCAGAAATTTCTTCGAATAAACAGAATCATTCTTATCCTGGTAGGTTTACACTGTTTTATGTTCCTAATAATTATTCCTTTGCTTTTATTCATCAGTTTTTTTATATTCTCATATACCTTGTCCTCAGATTATGAGTCTTTTTTTATGTTAATTATTCCCTTGATTTTTTAAAAAAAATCTTTATCACCCCTGTATAGATATATTAACAAATAATATATATTATAAAATGTATATATATTTGTTGTTGGCTGTTTTGTTAGTGTTCCATTAAAATATATTATTCATCCTGTACTTGATGGATATTTGTGTTACATTTGTTTTTTTACTACTATAAACTAGACTATTGCACACTTTTGCCAAAGTTTCTCTAGGGTTGCGAGGCATGGGCCATCCAGACCTTCAGCCTTCCTAGGTAATTGCAGACTGTTTGCGGTGCACGTGCCCATGAACAGTGAATGGAGCCTCTGCAGCCCCTTATCTCACACTAGTCCTGTTTGACTGAGAAGTCTTTGCCCATCTGATGGATTTAAATTGTATCTTGTGGTTTTAATTTGCATTTTTCAGATTATAAATGAGGTTGAACCTCATTTTTTTCTTCTTGTTGGGCCATATGCATTTTCTCTTTTATGATGTACCTGTTCAAGTCTCTTGCCCACTTTTTTTTGGTTTGTCTTACTAATTTGTAGGTTTCTGAATATATTTTGGACACTAATACTTTGCCAGTCCTGTGTGTTGTGAATGTCTTGCCTGCCTGGTTTTCGACTTGTCTTTTGCCTCCCCTGCCCCCACCACCCGTTTGATGTCTTTTAATAAGCAGATATTTAAAAATTTTAAGTAATCAGAATAGCAAACCACTGGGACAACTGGGTGGCTCAGTTGGTTAAACAGTCTGCCTTCGACTCAGGTCATGATCCCAGGATCCTGGCATCAAGTCCTGCATCAGCTTCCTTGCCCAGCGGGGAGCCTGCTCCTCCTTCTGCCTGCCATGGGCACGCTCTCACTCTCTTTCTGAGAAATAAATAAAATCTTAAAAAAAAATAGCAAACCATTATGTTTTCCATGTTTTATCTTAGGAAATCTTTTCCTAAAACAAACCTCACACAGATATTTTCCTATATTGCTTTCTAAAAGTTTTGTTTTGTATTTTTGCTTTTCATAATTATCAATTCACCTGGAATTGATTTTGTATATAGTGAGGGTCTAATTACATTTTTTTCCATAGGATAACCATCTATGTACGAATGATTTGTATAAGTAGTCCTTAAATATTTGTTGAGATTAATTTTATGGCCTGTGGATTTTTGCCATTGTAATAGGTGTGTAGTAGTATCTCATTGTTGTTTCTATTTGAAATTCCCTGATGATGTATGATGTCGTATTAGTTTCCTAGGGCTAGCATAACAAAGAACCAGAGATGGTGTGGCTTAAACAAAGGAATTACTGTCTCAAAATTCTGGTAGCTAAAAGTCCAAGATCAAGGTGTTGGCAGGGTTGGTTTCTTCTAAGGCACTTGCTTTGCCTTGTAGATGGGGGTCTTCCGGTGTCTTAACAAAGTCTTTCCCTCTGTATGTGTCTGTGTCTTAATCTCTTCTTTTAAGGACACCAGTCATCTTGGATTAGGGCTGACCTATTTCATTTGATTTTAACTTAATTGCCACTTTAAAGGCCTCATCTCCAAATACAGTCACATTCTGAGGCACTGAGGGTTAGGATTTTAGCATATGAATGACGGGCACAATTCAGCTCATAACAGAAGTTGAAGATCTTTGCACATATTTGCCATCTGTCCATTTTTGGTGAATTGTTCATTCTGGTCTTTTGCTCATTTTTAAAATTGTGTTCATTGTTTTCTTATTGTTGAGTTTTAAGAGTTTTTTTGTATACTTTGAATGCTAGACCTTTTATCAGAATGTGTTTTGCAAACATTTTCTCTAGTCTGTGGCTTGTCTTTTCATTGTCTTAGCAGTCTATCACAGAGCAGAAGTCTTTAATTTTAGTGAAGTCCAGGGTATCAATTTTTTTTCATGAATTGTGCTTTTGGTGTTATGTTGGAAATGTCATCATTGAACTCGATGTCATCCTGATTTTCTCCTGTGTTATCTTTGTAGGAGTTTTATAGTTTTGTGTTTTCCCTGTAGATCAATGATCCAAGGAGTTAATTTTTATGAAAGGTGTGAAGTCTATGTCTGGATTCATTTTTTTTTTTTTGCATATTTTAGGACTATTTGTTAAAAAATCTGTCCTTTGTCCATTGAAGTGCCTCTGCTCTTTTGTCAAAGATCAGTTGACTGCATCTGTGTGGGTCTATTTCTGGGCTCTCTGTTCTATTCCATTGATCTATTTATCTTTCATAATACCACATTGTCTTAACTACTATAGCTTTATAGTGATTCTTCAAGTTTCTTCAGTCTTCTTGATCTTCTCCCTCAATATTATGCTAGTCATTCTGGGCTTTTTGCCTCTCCATACCAACTTTACAAATAGTATCTACAGAACAATTTGTTGGGATTTGGATTGAGATTGCATTTATTGTATAGATCAAATGGGGAAGAACTAACGTCTTAACAATATTGGGTCTTCCTATCCATGAACATGGAATACCTATCTTATTTGATTTCTAAAACTCTAAGAGTTTTATAGTTTTCCTCATATAGATTTTGTACATGTCTTATTAGATTTATAACAGTCTATTTCTTTTTTTGGTGTTCATGTAAATGGTATTGCTTTTTAAATAATTCCTTTTACCTTATATCAGCTTTCTTTTGGTCAAGTATTTGCTTAATACATCTTTTTCTATCAGTTGTCTTGTAACTTTTCTCTATCCTTATGTTTTTGGAATATTTTATAAATAGAATATGGTTGGATTTCACTTCTTTAAAAAATATGGTTTGACAATGTTTGCCTTTTAACCTGAGAGTTTCACCTATTTACATTTATTGTAAGTACTCATATATTTGGATTTATTTATGCTATTTGTTTGCTACTTTTCAGTTTTTTATACTTGTGGTTCTCTTTCTTGACTTTATTCTAGTTATATTCCTACCCCCTCTTGTTCTCATTCCATTCTCTACTTGAATGAAAGTTATACTCTATGAACATACTTCTTAGTAATTACTGTAGGTACTTTAACATACATACTTAGCAAAGTCTAAAGTTGATCATCAGGTGTACTCTTTCCCAAGTGATAGAAAATCCTTAGAAACTGAGTTACTCAGTTTCTATTTTATTTCCCCCACAAATTTCGCATTATTATAATAGTTTTTTAAATATAATTAATAACCAATATTTAATTTGCTCACATATTTACCAGTGACTTTAGTCCTTAATCTTCAGAACTTTAACTTGGGATCATTCTGTTTCTACCACATGTGTGTGTGTGTGTGTGTGTGTGTGTGTGTGTGTGTGTCTGTATATATATTTTAAAGATTTTATTTAAGAGAAAGAGAGCGAACAAGCGAGCACAGAGGGAGAGTGAGAAGGAGAAGCAGACTCCCTGCTGAGCAGGGAGCCCTATGTGGGGCTTGATCCCAGGACTCTGGGATCATGATCTGAGCCAAAGGCAGATGCTTAACCGACTGAGCCACCCGGGTGCTCCTGCCACATGTATATTTTTTGAAATTTCTTTTAGAAAGGTCTGTCAGTTTTTGTCTTTTCTAATGATAGTTTTACTGGGTAAACCTAACAATTGGTGAAAATTTGAGTTTGAAAGATGTTGTCTCCCTGTACATTGACAATATAATTTTATTATTTTCATCTTCTGTCACTTTTTTGAGAAGTCTGCTATGAGTCTGCCTAACCCATACTTTTGTAGGTGATTTATCTTTCTTTTTGACTGCCATTAAAGGTCTTCTCTATTTCCTTAGTGTTGTATAGTTTTACTATGATGTTGTCTAGATGGAGATTTCTTTTTGATTATCCTGTTTGGTATCATGGGTCTTCCTGGATCTGGAAATTAGTATCTTCGATCAATTCTATGAAACTCTTGTCTGTATACTTAAAATATTTCTCCTTCAATCTCTTTATTATCTCCTTCAGAAGCTCTGATGAGTAGTGTAGTAGACTTTCTCACTTTTCCATGCCTCTTTTATATTTTTCACCTTGGTCTTTCTGGACTGTATTCTAGACATCTTTAGCTCTATTTTCATGTTTCCTGATTCTTTCTTCAGCTATGTTTATTGTGCTGTTTAATCCTGCTACCAAGTTTTTAGTTATATAATTTTCATTTCTTTTTTCCTTTTCACAAATCTGTTTTGTAGTTATTTATTATCACTTGTTATTTCCCAATATTTTTAAGTTTTTCTTTTATGTCTTTAAACATTTTAAATATTGTTATTTTTATGTTAAATAATTCCATATCTGAAGTCTTTGTGAGCCTAACTTATGGTTCTGCCAATCTGTTTCTGTGAGCCTAACTTATGGTACCTTCTTTCCTTGTGAATTTTGTAATTTATTATTGTGAGGTGCTTATTCTACTCAGAATTTAATGTGTAGGAATTCTTTGAGGCCTGGGTTGATGCCTCCAGAGAAGATTATATTTACTTCTGCCAGTTACTCCTGGAGGTACTGCCAACCTGGGACTACTTTAATTTACATTCCCTGCAATTTTTTTTTTATTACATAGATAAAATGAATTTGGCTTATGATCACAAATTTTGAAGGGAGAAACTTTTGCCACCTTCTCAGCATTAAGATTGACACAGGCCACTTTGTTTTGTTTTTGTCAGAATGGTGTTTCATTCTGTTTCTTATTTAAACTTACATTGAGGGTGAGCTGGTTGGAATCTGCATTTTAACCAGGAGTCTTGTGTTAGAGTCCCCCTTCTGTAGGCCCCAGGTTTTATGTCCTTTCCTGTGTCCTGTGCAGCCGGTAAGGCAGAAGCCAAAGTTCTCTAGAATTTAGTGGCAATCCTGTGGTACATCTCTTTGAAATTGTGTCTTTGTATCAGCTCAACAGCATATATATATTTTTAATTATAGTTGTATAAAATTATACTCGCTTTGATCAAGAGATGGATTCAGCACATCTGGTCTGCCATTACTTTCCAGAACTGGAAATCTTACTCCTTTTTAAAGACATCTTTTTAAAAATGTACCTTTCATGAAATCTTTTTTTTTCTTTAAATTTTTTATTGTTATGTTAATCACCATACATTACATCATTAGTTTTTGATGTAGTGTTCCATGAGTCATTGTTTGTTTTTATCCTTTCATATGATTTATCAAGATTGTAATATTTGAGAATAAAAAGATGCAGCTTTATCAGTGTCTAATTTAGTTTTATTTGGTTTTCAAGAAATTTTATAATAAAAACCTCCAAATGGAATGTCATGATCTTATTTTTGCATATGCATAGTTTGATGAGAAAGGTAAGATAAAAATTTGTCAAAAAAATCTAAACCACTATTATATTCTGTATGTACTTGACTTTCTTTGCTTTCTGTTTCCAAAGAAACATTTGATAGAATAGAACACCAATAGAAGAAATGATAAAAGATAATGAGGACTGCAAATTTGTGATTTATTTTTCCTCTTTTGACCTTAACTTTGACATTTAGGTTTTAGGAGAAGTTTCAGTACGACTTCTGCTTCTTCCCAAAAAGAGATTAACAGAAGAAATGCTTTTGCCAAGTGAGTATTAAGAAGATTTAGAAAAACACTTTTCAAGATGAACATGACAGGATTCTGTGAAGGAAGAAAGTAGATTTTGTACCTTTTGCATTGCTTGGTAGAATTTTAGCACTTACAAGAAAAGGTGTGATGAGTGTATTGAGAAGAGTCCTCCCTCCTTCCCCCGCGAGCTCAATTAAAAATGTCACCAATGACTAAGAGTAGTATGCTGCATATATTTTCAGAGGTTTTAGTACCATTAATAAGAGTTGGAGGAATTTACATTTTATGTTACCATTGAATAGGGTGGATTGATTTTAAACTGTTTATTTAATTAGTCAGAGATTTGATTTAATATTTTCAGCAACACATGAAAGAAATGTCAGGTCTGTTTGCATAAAGTGATCTTAGTATTATTTTAAAAAATACTCCCACTCCCTCTTGTAGAAGATATTGCTCAAAATGCTTTTTTTGTTGTTTCTTTATAGAATTTTTTTTTCTTTTTCATTTATATTGATTTCCCTCAGACCCACTTTACTCCTCCTGATGTTTTTCTGACACTCTGGGAAACTTTTTTATTTTTTGGAGGAATATGAGGCTCTTCTAGATTGATTGGATTAAGGAGTTCTTTTTTTTTTTAATTTAAAATTTTTCCACTTCATCTAAAGGCTAATGCCCGTGGCTGTGGAGGGGTGGGTGGGGAAGGAAAGAAGGACTAGCTGAGCAGGAAAGCACACGTCCTTGCTTAAGTGTGGTATTCTGGAAACCACTAGAAGGTGGAGCCCAGGCACTGGAACTGGGCAATCAGCTGAGCAGCAGGTAGGCGGTTTATATAATCTGCTGAGAAGTTACTCCAGGCGTCACAAGGATCTGAAATTTCACTTGCCAACCCTGATTGTCCTAAGACATTGCTAGGTACTGTTTAGCAGGGTTGGCTGGGGGTTTTGTTTTTGTTTTTTTCTTTCCTTCAGACTTTCACCAGTTTTGAGAGTGTTGCAATTGGTCTCCTCACCTGAGTGGCTGAGTGTGTTAAGAGCAGTGACTCTCTGCTCCAGTTTCTTGAAGATATCCAAGAGTTCTTAGGCAGAATAGGAGAAATACCAGGAAGAGACCATCGGGATATAAAGGACCCGGGGTTAGGGGCAGTGTCAAAGACTGTGTGCGATGCTGGGGTCGGGGAACACGACATCCAGGGAACCGAGGGAAGGACAAGAAATCTGAACCGTGGGAATTATGCCGCGGGTATGGGTAGACACAAGCTCATCTGCTGACATGAGGGAAAATGTGAGGACTTTCTCTTTATTTTCTATAAAAGTCAAAAGACATGAAGCTTTACTGATACTTGTACAGATTGAGACTAGTACCTGTTTAAAAAAAACCTCTCTTATCGAGGGTATAAAATCAATTTTAAAAATAATTGATGTTTGCTTATAGAGTACGGGACTGAAATGCTTGGTGGACACTGTTCTAAGGAACAAGAGGAAGACTTTGGGTGTTGGCAGGTAGTAGGAGAGCTGCCTGTGACCTTGGGCTAGGGGAGACGTGGGAGTGACGGCTGGCCTTCTGCCGATGGCACGGAGGGGATCGGGTACTGTGCTGTGACCAGGCCGGAAGCATGATGGATTCTGAAGACTGGCTTGAAAAATGAGTTCGTTGAGATTCCCCACACACTACCATTTTCTTGTTTATTCATATGGAAATAAATGATACTTCCAGAAGAAACATGGAAAACGTAGTGGTATGAAAATTCCTGGGGAGGAAACCTGAAGGGTTTGTGCAGAGGACGTGCCTGCCCCACATGAGAGAGGACGTGAGGACAGGGGGCAGGATCTGGTTTTCTGCGTCATTTGTCGAAATGACAGTGATGAACGCATTTCATTCAGAGGACATGATGGCAAGGGGCTTGACGCAGTTCTCATGTTTTCAGAATTCTGTGTGTATCTAATGCCAAGAATAGGACTAGAGAGGAAGGGGGCTTGGGCTTTGAACCCGGCACCACAGTGATCTGGTGGTCACGAGGAGTCCATCCTCGCCCACCTGGCATCCGGCCTGCATCCGGGTCCTGTCACCACACGCAGCCTGGTCCTGCCAGCTTCTCTCAGCTCCTCTCCGTGCTGTCGCGGCGCGTCCCGTCTGTGGGATCCAGCCTGTCGACACGGTTTGTGTGGTCAGCTCAGATTTGAATGTCTTTAGGCAGAACTCGCAGAATCCTGTTTGCTGCATGTTCCATTATGTCACATCATCCGTTTTCATTCACTGCTTGTGCCTTGAAGCTTCTCGATTCTCAAACACACGATGAAGTCCAGATTCATTGGCACGGCCTCTGAGGGCCCGCCTGCACGCACGGCTCCTGTGTGTGCCCCTGACTTCGGTCTCGTGGGGATAGCCTCACCAGTGAGGCTTACAGGTCACATCCTCACTGAAGGATCTTCCCTGGCCCTTAAGGGAGGATAGACTTCTTCCTCCGTCTGTACTCCTTCTGCACCGCACACAGTCTGTCTTGTGGTATTGATGACATTTTACTGATTATTATGCACAAGTCTAGAACCTAGCCCTGGGCCTGCCATTTCATAGGTGGTTAGTTAATGTTTTTGAATGAGTAGCTCTGAAATGTACTGTAATTCCTAGTTTCTCACTTCCCTGAGGTTTTAGAGCTTTTAGAGACGTAACTTGAATCAGATCATTCTTATTAGAATGTTAACTCTTCACCCAAACCATGAGTTTTTAAAGAAGGACTAGCTGAGCAGGAAAGCACACGTCCTTGCTTAAGTGTGGTATTCTGGAAACCACTAGAAGGTGGAGCGCAGGCACTGGAACTGGGCAATCAGCTGAGCAGCAGGTAGGCGGTTTATATAATCTGCTGAGAAGTTACTCCAGGCGTCACAAGGATTTAAAAATGTACCTTTCATGAAATCTTTTTTTTTCTTTAAATTTTTTATTGTTATGTTAATCACCATACATTACATCATTAGTTTTTGATGTAG